AACAACAACAACAACAACTGTATTGATGGTTTCTGTGAGCCCTGGAGTGGATTCCTGGCAGCTCTATTCAGAGTCAAAATGGCACCTAACAGCACAGAATTCCTTAGGCTGTAATCCTTAAAGTTGCAAATCGCCAAGGGTTTTCTCCCAGGAGAGTCTAATGGATTTCAACAGGGACCTTAGAGTTTAGCAGTCAAGTGTAACATTTGTGTTAACAGGGCTCCTTTGAATTTTTAATCAATCTGATTAGTCCTCAAACAATCAAAAGAGGCTTTCCTCCTCTCTCCATAGGTTATTGTTGTGTACCTTTGAGGCAGAACTGAACCATCCTGACCCTCCAGCATGTTTTCAGAGGCAGTAAATTGCCCAGGAGGATCTTGCCCGGCTTTATCTCTGAGCAACTCGTGAATTCAAACAATGTTCCTATAGTTTGTCATCTATCAGTATTCTTTTACTGCCATCCAATCTCAACCATCTCATAGCTGACCCTCCATTGACTTTCAGAGAGTGTCAACTTCCAGGGAAAGAGATGATCTTTCCCCCAATGAGACTGTTGGATTTGAATACAGCCTTCCTCCAAGTGCCACAACTCCCTATAGCCACCAGAGTTCCCTGAGAAATCCAAAGAGATAATAAGAGTTATATCTACAGATATTGATTTACCATAAGAAAAACAATTAGTGTAATTCTTCACATTAACAAAGAAAAAGAACTACATGATCTTATCAATTGATGCAGAAAAGGCATTTTACAAAATCCAACACCGTTTCCTGATTAAAATATTCAACAAAATAGGAATAGAGGGGAATTTACTCAATAAAGTAAAAAAAGTGTATACACAAACCCAAGAGCCAACATTCTTCTCAATGGAGAGAGATTAAAGGCATCCCCTTTGAAAACAGGAACTAGGCAAGGATGCCCACTATCACCTCTCCCATTCAATATTGTATTGGAAGTCTTAGTGACAGCAATAGGACAAGAGAGAGAAATAAGAGGTATCCAAACTATCAAAGAAGAGGTATAATTATCTCTCTTTGCAGATGATATAATAGTAAAATTAGAAAACAATAAAGACTCAGCAAGAAAACTACTGGATACAGTTGACCAAGTCAGCAAAGTTTCAGGATACAAGATCAACATACAAAAATCAACAGGATTTCTCTACAGTGACAAAGAGAATACAGAACTGGAGCTAAGAAAAACAATACCCAGCACAAAAGTTAATGACAAGATTAAATACTTGGGAGTAAATCTAACTAGAAACACAAAGGACCTATTAGAAAAATTAGAAAACATTACTACAAGAAACAAAAGAAGACTCAATATTGTAAAATGACAATTCTACCAAAGACAATCTACAATTTCAAAGCATATCCCAATACAAATTCCAATTCCATTCTTGAATGACATGGAAAAGGAAATTTCCAATTTCATCTGGAATGGAAAGAGATCCCGAATAAGCAAAGCTCTCCTGAAAAAGAGAAACAAGGTAGAAGGCATCTCACTCCCTGATCTCAAAGTCTACTACACTGCCGTGCTGGTCAAGACAGCATTGTACTGGTACAATGACAGGCAAATAGATCAATAGAATAGAATTAAGAACCCAGAAATCAGCCCATCTACCTATGGTCAATTGATTTTTGACAACGAGATGAAATCAGTTAAGTGGAGAAATGACAGACACTTTAACAAATATTGGAAAACCATCTGTAGAAAACTCAAACAAGACCCACACCTCACACCATACACAAAAACCAACTAAAAGTGGATCGAGGACCTAGGACTGAAAGCTTGAAACAACTCTGTTGTTGTTGTTAAGTGCTGTTGAGTTGCAGGCAACTCATAGCGACCCTATGAAGGACAGTTCTCGATGTCTGGGTGCCTTTCATCCTCTCTCCAGGTTCATAGGGCTTCCGGAGGCAACCTATTATGGAAGTGGATGCCACACCTCCTTCCAACCTTGTTTTAATGGGGGAGTTCCACCCCACTCTCTGTCCACATTGGGTAGCCAACCATTAATGCATTTGACACATCAGTGTCACAGTGTTCAGCCTCACAGCAACCAAAAGTGACAACATGTACAGTGGTTCGACAACATGTACACCAGGGCTATACTACCTAGAGAAATATCTGAACAAAAACAATGAAAGACAGGCCCGAGGGCTGCAGATTAAAAGTTACCCACCTTTGGCTTGGTAGCATCGCTTTTCTGTCCACTGGGCCAGCTGATCTCTCTCTCTATGTTGATATTATTGTTGTTAAGTGCAGTCGAGTCACAGGCTCTCCTATGACAGAGAGTCCTTGACAACTCTAGAATTCCTAATCCACAACACGAACAGTCTTCCAAGCATCCTGAAAAACCTACACCCAAGAGAGAATAAAGTAGATTTATTATGGGACCTTCTAAGAATCAAATCTCTATGCATATCCAAAAACCTCTCCAACAGGGTAAAAAGTAAACCCCATACTGGGGAAGAAATTTTGGTAATGACATATCTGATAAGGAACTTATATCTAGACTTTATAGAATACTCCAGCACCTCACCCAGATAAAGGTAAACGACCCAATCACAAAATGGGCACAAAATATGAACAGACACTTCACCAAAGAATACATTGAGATGGTGAACAGACAAATGAAATGTTCAAAATCCCTAGCTCTAAGAGAGATGCAAATAAAAACAACTATGAGATATCCTCGCATTCTAGAAACAATTGCAAGATTCAACAGAGTAGCAAACAACAAAAGTTGTCAAGGTTGTGGAGAAACTGGAACCCCTTATTCACTGTTGGTGGGAGTGTAAATTGTTGCAACCACTCTAGAAGGCAGGATGGCACTTTCTCAAAACATTGGAAATAGAAATGCCATTTTACTCAGTAATTTGCACTACTGAGAATATACCCTAAAGAAACCAGAACTGCCACCCAAACAGATATATACTCACCTATGTTTCTTGAAGCATTGATCACAATAGCAAAAAGATGGAAAGAACCCATGCATAGAAAAGCTGTGATATATTCACACAAAGGAATACTACACAGCAATGAAAAACAAGGAATGGAAAGAATTAGCAAAAAACAAGGCTCCAGGAATTGACAGCATACCAACTGACAAATTTCAACATGCAAATGCTGCCCTAAGTTGTGACAAAAGATCTGGAGGACAGCCACCTCGCCAACTGACTGAAAGAGGTCTATATTTGTTCCCAAAGAAAGATGACCTGACAGAGTGTGTAAACTGTCGAACAATATCATTAATATCACATTCAAGCAAGATTCTGCTGAAAATCATCCAAAACCAACTGCAGCAGCTCATTAACAGAGAACTGCTAGATGTGCAGGCTAGGTTTAGAAGTTGCCGTGGTACTAGGAATAATATAGCTAGTGTTAGATGGATCTTGGCTGAAAGCAGAGAGTACCAGAGGAACATCTATCTGTGTTTCCTTGACTATGCAAAAGCATTTGACTGTGTGGATAATAATAAACTGTAGGTTACTCTGAGAATAATGGGAATCCTGGAACATTTGATTGTTCTTATGTGAAACCTATAATTCGACCAAGAGGTAGTCATCAGAGCAAGGAAGACACTGCCTGGTTCAAAATCAGAAGGGTTGTACACCAGGGATTTAATCTGTCTCCATACTTTTTCAATCTATATGCAGAACAGATCATCTAGGAGGCTGGGCTCTATGAAGAGAAATGTGACATTTCTCATTTCATTTCACTATATGAGGAGAAATGTGGCATCTTACTCCACGATTGGAGGAAGATTCATCAACAACCTGCATTATGCAGTTGACACAACCCTGTTTGGTGAAACTGAGGAGGACCTGAAATGCTTGTTGCATAAAATCAAGGACTGAGGCCTTCAATATGGATTGAAGCTCAACATCAGGAAAATAAAGATTCTCACCACTGGGCCAATTGGTAGCATCATGATGGATGATGAAGGAATTATGAATGGTATCAGCTTTAATTTGCTTGGCTCCACAATCAACACTCTTAGTGACAGCAGCCAGGAAATCAAGAGATAAATTGCATTGAGAAGGTGGACTGTCAGGGACCTCTCCAGAGTACTGAAGAGCAATGACATCAGTCTGGAGACTAAGGTGCACCCGATACAGGCCATAGTCTTCACAATTGCTTGTTTTGCATCATAGAACTGGAAAATGACTAGGGATGATAGGAGAATTGATGCCTTTGAGCTGTGATGCTGGAGAAGAGTTTTGAATATACCATGGACTTCTAGGAGAACAAACATGTTTTTCCTGGAGAAGGTGAAGCTGGCCTGCTCCTTGGAGGCAAGGATTCTGAAG